ACTGTAAAACGCTGCTTTCACTGTGAGATGATTTTCTTTTCTAACTCTGCGTTTTAAAGATCTCAGACGCTGCAGACTCGATCTCCACCGCCCCTCTGATCACCTTCGTGTGTTAATGTTGATGATGAAATATTACAGTGATGGTGGTGAATAATGAGGAGACAGTTTCTTTAATGGAAATCGTATGAATAACACTGAGCACGCTCTGAAAAAGATGGTTCTTCAAGGGTTCTTTATTAGAGAAAATGGTTCTGTATAAAACCGTGAAAACTTAAAGCACGCTTTGCATGATTAAATGGTAAGGGTTCTTGACATTGATGGAGAATGTACTGTGCTGATGGTTCTGTATAGGACGGTTTTTAAAAGGGTTCTATATAGCACCAAGAAGCATTTTTCTGTAGTTACGATGTCAAGCTTGTAACAGTAGAAGAACCCTTTTCGGTGCTATATAGAACACTTTTCAGTACAGTACATTCTTCATCAATCTGAAGAACCCTTTCACAATGCAAAGAACCCTTTAATTATATAAAGGGTTCTTTGAGTGTTCATGGTTCTATATAGAACCATGTTCTCTACTAAAGAACCCATATTTTTTACAAGTGTAACTCGATATCTTTCATCAGTAAACTTTTGTAGTTCCTGCTGGTGTGGGTTCATGGACAGAACTTTATGCTAATAGCATCCCCTGCTGGACTGCTAGGTGTGTTCCACACCCACACACTTACTATATTACTTAATATATTACTCTATTAATAAACATTGTTATAGCGGAAACCATGACTTTATATTTAATCAACTTTTTAATAGTTCTCAGTTTGCTTCCCCAACATGGTGAGAACTCTTTCTCATCATCACCCTCAAAAATCTGCCCCAGAGTAGCTGTAGTTTTTCAAAAGCTCCTCCCACCTTCAAGTTACATCATCAAATCTCAGGCTAGAAACACTGCAGCAATGCTTACAACAGATGTAGTGATAATCGTCTGTTCATTTTGGCCCGAATGTCTCCTGAAACTGATCTTACTCTGGCTTTATTGGGGGAAGCTGTCTAGAGCTGCTGGCTGAGATGACCATATATTATCGTTATTGTGAGAAACTCTATTGTGATACTCTTTTCTGAGTGTTTGATGGGTCATGAGCAGCACTTCTAGTGCACTGAACAACGGCATTGATCATTCAGACCAATTATAGAGCGTGTAAACAACAACAACAACAGCAAGGACCAATGTACCGTAACAGCATAACCTGCATAATGAGAAGTGATGTATAGCAGATTGGGTGGCAGCCCAATATTTTATTATTTTATTCATTTATTTTACCTTTTTCCTTCCATTTTTTCTTCATTATATGTGAGATGTAATCAGAGAGATTCAGAGTGGTTTGGTGTGAAATGGTTCAGATGTCTTTACAGTGGTGGTGATAGGAACCAGGGGTCGCCATGACTACAACACAAATATAGACATGTTTTATTTTTATTTTTAATAATAAGTTTTCTTTGGGGACTATTTTGCCTCACAGCGCCCTGCATGTATCCCTCCACCATGAATGGAGTTTAAGTTCTCAAAACTATCATAAAACAGTGTCTCAGTCATCAGGCAGTGAATTCATAACCATTTCATGTAGGAACTTTCTGTGAGGGAGCTTTTAGAGGTGGACGTCTGGTTCCTATCACCACCACTGTGAACAGTTCTGACTCAGTAAAAACTAGCTTGGTTACAAACTTCATAAAAACTGAATGGTGATGCATATCGTTGTGAAAGTGCCTTAATCTTTTTGTCTGTATTGTTCTTCTCACTCTAACAGTGTGTGTCAGAGCTCTCAGTAGGTGTGCATATTTGATTGTTCTGACAGGTGTACTCACAGACTAGTGTGAGCTGTCACAGGTAGATACACCTGTTCAGACTGAGGGCTTTGGGTTTTTTTTTGATTATTTCCTTTTGTTCTTCAGCTGTCATAGATTACAGAGAGCTTCAAAGACTTTTGACTCACTTCTTCTTCATAAAGATGCCATTCCACTTAGAGAGTCTTGCAGTCTCAGTGCAGTGCTAGAAGAATGGAGAAGAAAAGTGAATCTCTGGTAGAGATCTACACACCTGCTCATTAAGCAGAGTATCAGCGTACCATTATATCGAGGCTGCATATTTTACTTAACCCTGAACCTGGGTTTGAAAGTTCAGCAAAGTTCAAAGTGAACCAGGTTGAACTGTGTGTCTGTGGCACTCGCTCAGAGAGAGAGAGAGAGAGAGAGAGAGAGAGCTGCCAGGAGCTCCTAAACAAAGACAAGCAGTGACTTGTCATTTCCCAGGGATAATCCGCGTGCTTTCAGAGAACCGAAACCCTCCCGACGTAAAGGGATACGGCTGAGTCTCTCACCTGTGTCAAATCGCGGGGGTGGGGGGAGGTTTTGGGGGGGTGCACTTTGTGGAAGAGAGACTAAATTCTGCCTCCGTGCCTCACAGAGAGAAGCAGAAAGATTATTCAGTGTTTTCCATCCCTCAGTGTCTGTGGAAGACATGTAAAGATACCTGCCTCATTTGAAACAGTCACAGATGAACTGTTGGCCTGAGGGCAGACGTGTTTATATGTGGTGAGACACTTAAGGTGATGCTGATGTCCCAAATGTGCTCTGGATGAACTATAAATTTTCTTTCCTTGGCTTTATCAGAGCTATATAAAACTATTTTGAGCTCCTGTACAAGAATATATGAGTCTGGAATGTTTTCAGGAATCAGTTGTGCTTTTTGCAATTTTGCACAACATTAAAACTGAACTCTGTGCTTGGAATAAAAAGCTCTGCTAAAGCCTGAGTAGACTGATAAATCAATGTGATCAGTTATTAATCTCAGTGTTACTGAGCTCTGCTAAAGCCTGAGTAGACTGATAAATCAATGTGATCAGTTATTAATCTCAGTGTTACTGAGCTCTGCTAAAGCCTGAGTAGACTGATAAATCATTGTGATCAGTTATTAATCTCAGCGTTACTGAGCTCTGCTAAAGCCTGAGTAGACTGATAAATCAATGTGATCGGTTATTAATCTCAGTGTTACTGAGCTCTGCTAAAGCCTGAGTAGACCGATAAATCAATGTGATCGGTTATTAATCTCAGCGTTACTGAGCTCTGCTAAAGCCTGAGTAGACCGATAAATCAATGTGATCGGTTATTAATCTCAGCGTTACTGAGCTCTGCTAAAGCCTGAGTAGACCGATAAATCAATGTGATCAGTTATTAATCTCAGCATTACTGAGCTCTGCTAAAGCCTGAGTAGACCGATAAATCAATGTGATCGGTTATTAATCTCAGCGTTACTGAGCTCTGCTAAAGCCTGAGTAGACTGATAAATCAATGTGATCAGTTATTAATCTCTGTTACTGAGCTCTGCTAAAGCCTGAGTAGACTGATAAATCAATGTGATCAGTTATTAATCTCTGTTACTGAGCTCTGCTAAAGCCTGAGTAGACTGATAAATCAATGTGATCGGTTATTAATCTCAGCGTTACTGAGCTCTGCTAAAGCCTGAGTAGACCGATAAATCAATGTGATCAGTTATTAATCTCAGTGTTACTGAGCTCTGCTAAAGCCTGAGTAGACTGATAAATCAATGTGATCGGTTATTAATCTCAGTGTTACTGAGCTCTGCTAAAGCCTGAGTAGACTGATAAATCAATGTGATCGGTTATTAATCTCAGCGTTACTGAGCTCTGCTAAAGCCTGAGTAGACTGATAAATCAATGTGATCGGTTATTAATCTCAGCGTTACTGAGCTCTGCTAAAGCCTGAGTAGACCGATAAATCAATGTGATCGGTTATTAATCTCAGTGTTACTGAGCTCTGCTAAAGCCTGAGTAGACTGATAAATCAATGTGATCGGTTATTAATCTCAGTGTTACTGAGCTCTGCTAAAGCCTGAGTAGACTGATAAATCAATGTGATCAGTTATTAATCTCAGTGTTAATAAACTCTTCTTTGAGGGTCGACCAAACTAATAATCTCAGTAGTGGACGTGTTTGTGCGTGATAATCTGTGCTGTACTGGATTCCTGCTCTGGGTATTGAGGGAGCAGCATAGATTAAAAATTCAGTATTTCCAATGTGGCCTTCCATGATGTATTCCTAATGTATTGTAAATATATTCTAAATGTGCTACTTTTTAGGTATTGTAATGGAATACGTTACTGAACACATTTAGGATTTTTGGTATTCAGAGTATTTTGCCCACAATTGTGCAAAACTCCAGTGCTGGGTGCTGGAGTGAGCTATTGATCTGTGTTCATCGGTTCCAAACAGTTTGATGTGGATGGATTAAGTGTTCAAACAAGGAAATTGCATCATGTATGATAATTAATAGAACGCTTAATCTTCACAATGCACTGTCATCTCCTTAATGCACTGATGTTTATGCATCGGCATTGTTGATCGGCATCAGCTCACAGTTCCCATTTTGGTAAAAAGTCAAGAGAGAAAATATAATAACCTAAATACGTAGATTGGAAAACAGCAGGTTAACAAAGCACAGAGCAGAACAGCCATGAGCAAGAGCAGCCATTCAAACTGCTGTCTGATAACTCAGAGCTCATCGGCTGGTGAGTCTGTCAAAGTACATTTAGTATTGAAGCTTCGAGTCCAGATGGATGTGTTGGACTTCATGGAGAAAGAAAAGGCCTGAGATCACTTATGTAAATGATTTTAGGTGTTTTTAAGTTATATGCTTAAGGTATAGATTTAAAGCTACAAAAAAAAATTACAATTATTTACAGATTTTTGCACTTTCCACTTAAAGATCTTACGTAGCTCACCAAGACAAAATTCACTTATGATGTTTTATATAAGTGACCTCTGGTACTTAATTTATAGAAGAGAATTGCAATTAAGTTGAAATTTCAATGTTGGTCAGAAAAACTGCAGTTGATGTTTTCCTGAATTCGTTCAGCAGTTTAGTTTTCAAGTGACAAAAGTGAGCCTAGATCGTTCATCACGTAAAACCGTCCTCTCCTTTCTCCTTTTCAGGTGGTCAGGGCCCGGCTGGAGGAGAGGGGCGTGGTCGTTCGTGACGTGAAGCTCAACGGTTCAGCGGCGAGCCACGTTCTCCACCAGGACACGGGCCTGGGCTACAAGGATCTGGACCTGATCTTCGGCTTGAGCCTGACCGACGACAGAACGTTCCGCCTGGTGAAGGATGTGGTGCTGGACAGCCTGCTGGACTTCCTGCCGCCAGGCGTGAGCCGTGAGCGCATGGGCGCCCTGACGCTGAAGGAGGCGTACGTGCAGAAGCTGGTGAAGGTGTGCAATGACACAGACCGCTGGAGCCTGATCTCGCTGTCTAACAACACGGGCAAGAACGTGGAGCTGAAGTTCGTGGACTCGCTACGGCGGCAGTTCGAGTTCAGCGTGGACTCCTTCCAGATCGGCCTGGACTCGCTGCTGCTGTTCGACCGCTGTTCCGAGACGCCCATGTCCGAGAGCTTCCACCCCACCGTGCTGGGCGAGAGCATGTACGGCGACTTTGAGGAGGCGCTGGGTCACCTGCGCTCCAAAACCATCGCCACGCGCAGCCCTGAGGAGATCCGCGGTGGCGGCCTGCTCAAATACTGCCACCTGCTGGTGCGGGGCTTCCGGCCCGCCTCGGAGGCACAGATGAAGACGCTGCAGCGCTACATGTGCTCGCGCTTCTTTATCGACTTCTCGGACATCGGCGAGCAGCAGAGGAAGTTGGAGGCCTACCTGCAGAACCACTTCAACGGCATGGAGCACAAGCGCTACGAGTGCCTGGTGACGCTGCGGCGCGTGGTGGACGAGAGCACCGTGTGCCTGATGGGCCACGAGCGGCGGCAGACGCTGGCGCTCATCTCCGCGCTGGCCCTGCGCACGCTGGCCGAGCAGAACGCCATCCCCGCCCTCGCCAACGTTACCTGCTACTACCAGCCTGCGCCGTACGTGCGCGACGTCAACTTCAGCAACTACTACGTGGCGCGCGTGCACTCGCCCGTACCCTACCGGACGTGGCTGCCCTGCAGCTGAGCGACGGGAGGACACCACAGCGTCCTTATTCGGTTTTGTAAAGGAAAGATTGCTTTTTTTGGTTATCAGCTTGTTTAAGGGCAGGACAAAGGGCCTTCTCCGTAGCAGCCGGTCGGGAGAAGACGAAAGACGTTTAAATGCGTCTTTTTTTGCCAAACGTCCCCATTTTTTCCCCTCACTAAGTTATAATGAACTCTGCTGTACTGTAAAACTGGTTCGAGCCGTTCTGTGTTGTTTCCTTGAACATTCCTCTGAGACTTTGAAGACTTTGGTCAGTGTGCTAAAGATAGAGGGAGAGTACTTCTCTAGTTTACTTCTTCACATGTACTCCATTTGTATTTGACATGAAATGTTTGTAACTTATAAGACGCGCCTCGCTCTTTGTGGAGAAAAACGAAATCTAAACAACTGGATTCTAGCCTTGTGCCGAAAGCTGTGTTCAGTTCTGTCTGTGGTTTCCAGATTTCCTCCCTCTTATTTGAACTTCTGAGGACCAAAGATTTTTAGTTGAATGGAATGTTTGTTACTTCTGTGATTCCCAAGTGCCTGAAAACCGACCACAAACAGAAAAGTGTGTAAAAGGTGGAATTTTCATCCTTTGGGCTACTGTACAGTATATTTTTATGTTTCAGGGTCAGGGCCTTTCCTCTTCACATCTTCTAAAAAGACATTAAAAGGTTGAAAATGATTCCAGATCTCGTTTTCCTGTTTTTTAGAAACACAAATCCAGGACACAGAGTATATTGCATGTAAAAGTTTGGGTACACATGCTTGAGCAAGGTGTTTACATGAAAATAAGTTACTGCATTATGGAGTTTATTTTGTGCCTCAAGTTTCAAGCAAAATATTCAGTATCAAAATGTCAGAAATTTGTTGCGAAAATGAATAGAATTAAATCTATTTTTTTTTTTCAAAAAAAACGATTTCTACTCATTTTTGCTCATTTGGGTATATTTTTTCCTTTTTGCCAGATTTGCTTTCATTTTTTCTGTTTGCTGATTTTGCTAATAATTTTTTGCCTCTGAAATTTTACTTTTTTTCTGAATTTTTCTTTTGCTTTAGACTTTTGGCACTTTTGAACAGGGGCGGGTCTTAGAAAAGGGTGTTCACCTGCAGTGTCTATTGGTCAACAGATTTGGAGTGACAGATGCCTAAAATAGCTGAGGAACCATTTAGCGATATGCTAGCAAGCAACTACCAACCACCTAAAATACCAATAAAATTATATAGCACAACCCAAGCAATACCATAGCAACACCTAAAATACCACAGCAACCATCTAGCACAACCCAAGCAATACCATAGCAACACCTAAAATACCATAGCAACCATCTAGCACAACCCAAGCAATACCATAGCAACACCTAAAATACCATAGCCACCATCTAGCACAACCCAAGCAATCCCATAGCAACACCTAAAATACCATAGCAACCATCTAGCACAACCCAAGCAATACCATAGCAACACCTAAAATACCATAGCCACCATCTAGCACAACCCAAGCAATACCATAGCAACACCTAAAATACCATAGCCACCATCTAGCACAACCCAAGCAATACCATAGCAACACCTAAAATACCATAGCCACCATCTAGCACAACCCAAGCAATACCATAGCAACACCAAAAATACCATAGCAACCATCTAGCACAACGCAAGCAATACCATAGCAACACCTAAAATACCATAGCCACCATCTAGCACAACACAAGCAATACCGTAGGAACATCTAAAATACTATAGCAACCATGTAGCACAACCCAAGCAATACCATAGTAACACCTAAAATACCACAGCAACCATGTAGCACAACCCAAGCAATACCATAGCAACATCTAAAATACCATAGCAACCATGTAGCACAACCCAAGCAATACCATAGCAACACCTAAAATACCATAGCAACCATCTAGCACAACCCAAGCAATAACGTAGCAACACCTAAAATACCATAGCAACCATCTAGCACAAACCAAGCAATACCATAGCAACACCTAAAATACCATAGCAACCATGTAGCACAACCCAAGCAATACCATAGCAACACCTAAAATACCATAGCCACCATCTAGCACAACCCAAGCAATACCATAGGAACACCTAAAATACCATAGCAACCATGTAGCACAACCCAAGCAATACCGTAGCAACCACCTAAAATACCATAGCAACTATCTAGCACAACCCAAGTAATACCGTAGCAACCACCTAACATACCATAGCAACCATCTAGCACAACCCAAGCAATACCATAGCAACACCTAAAATACCACAGCAACCATCTACCACAACCCAAGCAATACCATAGCAACACCTAAAATACCATAGCAACCATCTAGCACAACCCAAGCAATACCGTAGCAACCACCTAAAATACCATAGCAACCATCTAGCACAACCCAAGCAATATCATAGCAACACCTAAAATACCATAGCAACCATCTAGCACAACGCAAGCTATACCATAGGAACACCTAAAATACCATAGTAACCATCTAGCACAACCCAAGCAATACTGTAGCAACCACCTAAAATACCATAGCAACCATCTAGCACAACCCAAGCAATATCGTAGCAACACCAAAAATACCATAGCAACCATCTAGCACAACCCAAGCAATACCATAGCAACACCTAAAATACCATAGCAACCATCTAGCACAACCCAAGCAATACCGTAGCAACATCTAAAATACCATAGCAACCATGTAGCACAACCCAAGCAATACCATAGCAACACCTAAAATACCATAGCCACCATCTAGCACAACCCAAGCAATACCATAGCAACACCTAAAATACCATAGCAACCATCTAGCACAACCCAAGCAATACCATAGCAACACCAAAAATACCATAGCAACCATCTAGCACAACCCAAGCAATACCATAGCAACACCTAAAATACCATAGCAACCATCTAGCACAACCCAAGCAATACCATAGCAACACCTAAAATACCATAGCATCCATCTAGCACAACACAAGCAATACCGTAGCAACACCTAAAATACCATAGCAACCATCTAGCACAACCCAAGCAATACCGTAGCAACCACCTAAAATACCATAGCAACCATCTAGTACAACCCAAGCAATATCATAGCAACACCTAAAATACCATAGCAACCATCTAGCACAACCCAAGCAATACCGTAGCAACCACCTAAAATACCATAGCAACCATCTAGCACAACCCAAGCAATACCATAGCAACACCTAAAATACCATAGCCACCATCTAGCACAACCCAAGCAATACCGTAGCAACCACCTAAAATACCATGGCAACCATCTAACACAACCCAAGCAATACCATAGCAACCATCTAGCACAACCCAAGCGATACCATAGGAACATCTAAAATACCATAGCAACCATGTAGCACAACCCAAGCAATACCATAGCAACACCTAAAATACCATAGCAACCATCTAGCACAACCCAAGCAATACCATAGCAACACCTAAAATACCATAGCAACCATCTAGCACAACCCAAGCAATACCGTAACAAAATCTAAAATACCATAGCAACCATGTAGCACAACCCAAGCAATACCATAGCAACACCTAAAATACCATAGCCACCATCTAGCACAACCCAAGCAATACCATAGCAACACCTAAAATACCATAACAACCATCTAGCACAACCCAAGCAATACCATAGCAACACCAAAAATACCATAGTAACCATCTAGCACAACCCAAGCAATACCATAGAACACCTAAAATACCATAGCAACCATCTAGCACAACGCAAGCAATACCATAGGAACACCTAAAATACCATAGCATCCATCTAGCACAACACAAGCAATACCGTAAGAACACCTAAAATACCATAGCAACCATCTAGCACAACCCAAGCAATACCGTAGCAACCACCTAAAATACCATAGCAACCATCTAGTACAACCCAAGCAATATCATAGCAACACCTAAAATACCATAGCAACCATCTAGCACAACCCAAGCAATACCGTAGCAACCACCTAAAATACCATAGCAACCATCTAGCACAACCCAAGTAATACCATAGCAACACCTAAAATACCATAGCAACCATCTAGCACAACCCAAGCAATACCGTAGCAACCACCTAAAATACCATGGCAACCATCTAACACAACCCAAGCAATACCATAGCAACCATCTAGCACAACCCAAGCGATACCATAGGAACATCTAAAATACCATAGCAACCATGTAGCACAACCCAAGCAATACCATAGCAACACCTAAAATACCATAGCCACCATCTAGCACAACCCAAGCAATACCATAGCAACACCTAAAATACCATAGCCACCATCTAGCACAACCCAAGCAATACCATAGCAACACCAAAAATACCATAGCAACCATCTAGCACAACCCAAGCAATACCATAGCAACACCAAAAATACCATAGCAACCATCTAGCACAACCCAAGCAATACCATAGCAACATCTAAAATACCATAGGCACCATCTAGCACAACACAAGCAATACCGTAGGAACACCTAAAATACCATAGCAACCATCTAGCACAACACAAGCAATACCGTAGGAACACCTAAAATACCATAGCAACCATCTAGCACAACGCAAGCAATACCGTAGCAACCACCTAAAATACCATAGCAACCATCTAGTACAACCCAAGCAATATCATAGCAACACCTAAAATACCATAGCAACCATCTAGCACAACCCAAGCAATACCATAGCAACACCTAAAATACCATAGCAACCTTCTAGCACAACGCAAGCAATACCATAGGAACACCTAAAATACCATAGTAACCATCTAGCACAACCCAAGAAATACCGTAGCAACCACCTAAAATACCATAGCAACCATCTAGCACAACCCAAGCAATATCATAGCAACACCTAAAATACCATAGCAACCATCTAGCACAACCCAAGCAATACTGTAGCAACCACCTAAAATACCATAGCAACCATCTAGCACAACCCAAGCAATATTATAGCAACACCTAAAATACCATAGCAACCATCTAGCACAAACCAAGCAATCCCATAGCAACATCTAAAATACCATAGCCACCATCTAGCACAACCCAAGCAATACCATAGCCACCATCTAGCACAACCCAAGCAATACCGTAGCAACCACCTAAAATACCATAGCAACCATCTAGCACAACCCAAGCAATACCATAGCAACACCTAAAATACCATAGCAACCATCTAGCACAACCCAAGCAATACCATAGCAACACCTAAAATACCATAGCAACCATCTAGCACAACCCAAGCGATACCATAGGAACACCTAAAATACCATAGCAACCATCTAGCACAACCCAAGCAATACCGTAGCAACCACCTAAAATACCATAGCAACCATCTAGCACAACCCAAGCAATACCGTAGCAACCACCTAAAATACCATAGCAACTATCTAGCACAACCCAAGCAATACCATAGCAACCACCTAAAATACCATAGCAACCATCTAGCACAACCCAAACAAAACCATAGCAACACCTAAAATACCATAGCAACCATCTAGCACAACGCAAGCAATACCATAGCAACACCTAAAATACCATAGCAACCAT